CGGGTTCAGCTGTTGTGCGGGTATTGGTGGTTCTTCGTCGACGATGACTGGTGTTGTTGTTCCTGCTGCTGCCGATGTTGTTGCTGCTGCTGATGTTGTTGCTGCTGCCGATGTTGTTGCTGCTGCCGATGTTGTCTCTGCTGCTGCTAATGTTGTCTCTACTGCTGCTAATGTTGTCTCTGCTGCTGCCGATGTTGTCTCTGGTGCTGCCGATTGTTGAATTGTTGCTAATGCTCGTGTTCGCTCTGCTTCAGGGATGGTGTGTGAGTACCAGAAGCCTCCTGGGCTGAAGTTGGGATCGAGGTCTGGAGGGTGTGTCCAGTCGGTAAAGTTGACGATGGCGTCGCTGTCTGCAGTGCCCAGGTCGGGGACGAAGTCAAGAACGAAGACGTTGTTCTTCAGCACTGCTTTTCCGATGTAGAGGCCGCCTCTCCCATGGTATAGCTTGAAAGCCTGGGTGGTGCTGTCGGCTTCCAAGTGAATCCCCTTCGCCATCAGCTGGCTAACACTCAGTAAGTTGTAACCGAGTCCTTCTGCGATGAGTACTTTTGACATGTGTAGTATGACGTTAGTCTCTCTTGATTGAAGCTGAACGACTCCTTGTCGTCTTGTGCGCAGGTTCTGGTTGTTGGCGACCGTGATGACTACTTCTCGCTGGAGTCGATGTTCGCATTGTACGAAGCGCCCGGAGAAGCACATGTGTTGTCCGCAGCAACTATCCAAGAACCAAGTGTCTTGGCCGGACGGTTCGCTTTGAGCGATGGCGGCGTACGTCGGATTCGGCTGGAGTGATTCGCGGCGAGGCGTCCTGTTGTCAAGCTCTTCTTCCGGTGAGTAGTGCGGTGGTGATTCGGTTGTGCACGAGTCGGTTATCTTCACCATGCAGTTGACTATGTTTCTTGCTCCTTGTGAAGGTTGTCCAGTTGAAGTCGTTGAAGCTTGAATCGTGGTCGTCGGACTTGCTTGCGTTGAAGTAATTTGGGAGCTTGAAGGCCGTAGTTGTCGCTGTGGTGTTGTCTGACGAGACGGGCAATGCGTGCGAGGATGGCCCGAGGACTTGCAGATGTGGCAGAACGGAGGTACCGTTTTCACTTGCTGTTGTCGATTGTTGTTGCCATTGTGTCGTCGCTGAGTGTGAAAAGCAAACTCTGGTGCTAATACTTTCTTCTTGTGTCTTTCTTCTTGCAGGTCCATGTCCTGCTGCTCAGCATGAATTTCGGCGCAGAGTGCCGCTTCGGAAATCCTCCCGTGTGCTCGTAATATGGCGCGAGTGGAGCGCCAGTGGGGGCCGAGACCGCCGATAACCACCGTGACAAAGGCGTCTTCTGAAATTGACCCGCCGCATCGAAGAAGCTTGTCGCGCAGTTCGCGGCAGCGGCTGATATAAGCCATGCCTTTCTCGCCTGGTTTCATTTCAATCGTTGTCAACTGCGCCATTAACCTGCTTTGGTTTACGCTGTCTGTTGCTTGATACAGGTTCTTCAGGTGGTTGTACGCGAGCTCCGCGGAGTTGCCGTAGCCTCGGTAAGTCCTGATGTTCTGCTGCTGGGTTGGGGTGATGTTCCTCAGCAGAATCGTGTACGCCATCATCGATTGGTATGTATATTGCTGCTTCTCATATTGTGTCCCGTTTGTTGGATATGGCAGGGACCCGTCGAAGAAGCCGAGAATATGTGCTCCTTCCATCATCAGTTCAAACTCGAACGACCACGTGAAGAAATCTTTGCCGTCGAAAGGCTTTGTCGTTTGTAGTTTTAGGACATGCGCGAATTGCGATTGGACTTGTAACGCATCCAATGTCCTTTCTTGTCCCGATGCAGGTTGCGGTTGCGGCATGAAGCTGACGGAGCCACGTTGGGGCTCGTACGGCGCAAAGGTAGGCTGCTGTGAAAACAAAGAACGAGAATGGAATGACTATGAACGAAGTGAGTACAAATAGGAAACCCTAATTGGGTTGTACCCCCTATGGGATACCCCACTATAGCCTACAGAAACAAGTAAGCTATAAGTTCTGACACACCCCCATAGGCAAAGTGGGGGAGAACAAGGGGTCACAAGACCAGTCAAGCAAAGCAAAGCAAAGCTCAGGGTGGATCACAAAGTCACCACGCATTCCGAGCACAAGTTCAAAGGCCACAAGGCCAGTTCACATGCAAGATCATATATAGAGATATACAAGAGCAAGAGTATATATATGCGAAAGTACAAGCAAGGTCAAGAGGAGAGCAAGTGAGGCAAGACAGGCACAAGACCCAACTGCGTGCAGCAACGCTGATGATCACAAGGCGCAAGTGCCTTGGTGAAGACATCAGCAGTGTTGGCCTCAGAGGCCACGTACGCAAGTCGCAGCTGTCCACGCTGCTGTAGCTCACGAGCAAGAAAGTAGCGAAGAGCAATGTGCTTCGTTCTGTGCTCCAGTCGCTGCTCTCGACACAAGGCCAGCATGGCCTTGTTGTCTACGTACAGGACTGGAGGAGAACGAGGCTGCTCTCCAAGGTCGGTCAGCAGGTAGGTGAGCCAGCGTAACTCCTGTGCAGCCATAGCCCCAGCGTAGATCTCAGCCTCACAACTGGAGCCGAGAACAGAAGACGAGCGGGTAGCCCGCCACGAGACAGAGCCGGAACCAAGGCTGAAGGTGTAACCCTGTGACGACCGCTGCGTAGCCTGGTCGTCAGCCCAAGAAGCGTCTGCGTGCCCAGTGAGGACCACTGGACTGCGCCCTCCAAGCACTAGCCCCATGCCCGACGTACTGCACATGTAGCGCAACACCCTCTTCGCTGCAGCCATGTGCTCTGGTCGGTGTCTCCCAGGAGCAACAAAGCGTGCGAGAATGCTAAGAGGGTATGCGAGGTCAGGTCGTGTGCAGGTCATCAGGTACATGAGGCAGCCAACAAGCTCTGCAAACGGGCCACTCGACTCTACGGACTCATCCGAAGGCAGAGTTGAGAGCGAGTGGCGAGTAGGCAGAGGAGTGGCCTGAGGCGACGAGTACGTGAAGCCGAAGCGCTGAAGGACCTGCTGCACCATGTGTGACTGAGTCAGGGTAATGGTGCGGCGTGCTCTGTCCCGGGTGATCTGCAAGCCAAGGTAGCTGCGCAGTTCACCCAGGTCAGTGCACGTGTGTCTCTTCTGCAGCTCGGACTTCACGTAGGCGAGTCCAGCAGTGTCAGCTGTGGCAAAGACCAAGTCGTCGACGTACACGAGGATGTAGAACGGCGGCAGAGAGGTGTCGGTGCGCAGAAACAGCGACGGGTCGGCAGTGGAAGGAGCAAACCCAAGTGCCGCGAGCGTAGTCCTCAGTGTGTCGTGCCACTCACGTGGCGCCTGGCGGAGACCGTAGACTGGACGCCGGAGACTCCACTGGGTACCAGGAGGGAAAGACCCAGTGAAGCCAGGTGGGCGACGCAGCCAGATCTCCTCGTGCAGGCTGCCCTGCAAGAAAGTTGTGCTGAAGTCGAGAGAGTGCAGCTCGTAGTCACGGTGAGCAGCAACGTGTAGCAGAACCCGAAGAGTGGTCATCTTCGGGGTGGGGGAGAAGGTCTGAAAGTAGTCAACCCCCTGTTGTTGTTGAATCCCGCGTGCGTAGGATGAGCCGTCGAGGCTCGTCGGAGTAACGTTGTTGTTGTTGCTGTTGTTTGACTGTGCAGGCACTCCTTGCTGGTGTTGCTCGTAGAAGGACATGAAGGAGAAAAATTTCTCCATCATGTTTGGATCGAAGCCTGCGGGTGTTTCCGTGGATCCAGCTGCTGGTGTTGTGGTTGTTCCCTCCTCTGTCTGTAGGCCAGAGGCAGGAGGTGGAGTAGGAGTAGTGCCTGGAGAGCCGTTGGAGGAGCTCCTCTCCTTCCTTGCAGACATGTCTTCTTTCTTTGTATTTAAGTATTGAGAGAGAAAATGACCTTGAAACTCTAACTGCTCTCATACCATGTTGGGCTGAGAAGCCCTAGGATCTTTGTAGAGTTTAAGCACTGAGTAGGATTGTAATAGCGGAAGCGTTGAAGTACAGAGTGATTGAACCACCTTGCACTAGTATGTGAGAGCAAAGTAAGTTGATTAAACAAGCAAATACAAAGGCTTATATAAGAGTACAAGGAATACGAATAGATGGATTGAAACCGTTTTACTGTTGCGATTCGATACAGTGCGACTCGGGCAACTGCTCAATGTCGAGTCAGTTGTGTGTCCTTGCTGTCGCGCTGTAATTGTCGAGTCAAAGGTCGCTGACCTTTGACTTTCCCGTAACCTCCAGACGGTTACCCTAACCTCTGAGGGTTAACTCGCGATGCTTCGATTTGGACTGTTTCGCTAGTGTCCTGAGTTTCGACACGACAGAGGCGCTTAAGACTCATTGTTCCCAACACCGTGGACCCTGAATGCGAGGGTATTGGGACGAAGTTTCTCCGAAATTTCGTCTCGATAACCTCGCCTTCGGATTGATCGCATCGCAGCACCCCCCATGTGCGGAATCCCCCTTCCACCACTTTATCGAAACGAAACTTCTCGGAAATTTTGTCTTAATACACCCACCCACCATCGAGATCGGCCGAATCTGCAATGCCAGATATATGTTGCAGTGATTGGTCGAAATGGTTGTGCTCTGACAGCGGCTGTTGTGCCAGGGCCATTTCTCTGTGATTGGGCGAATCTGTTGCTCTGTACTGTACGGCGCGAATGCACTTTGTCAACGTGAATTTGCTACAGTTTGACGCTGGTGCTGTGATGTGACCAGTCAACTCGGGTCCAAATCACCAGTCACATACAGTGCGCAACCAGAAATCTGAAGAACGAACGGTCGTCCAATTTGATTGGTCATCAAATCCACACAAGATATAAATATCCGAACCATACCAAATTTCGATAATGCACAGCGCGTTACTAACCCTGATCCTGACTTCTCAACCCTGAGCAATCAGACTATAACACTTCCCAACACTGAGCAATCAGGGTGATGTTTTTCTGAAAAAATGTGCACCCATAATACAGGGGGAATTTTTTTCCCGGATTCAGGGAGGCCTAATTTGAAACGTCAGCCCTGCTCCCGAGTCTCCAAGCACAAATCCTGCTCGTCGAATCACATCACCTCCGCACGCCTCTGCCTCTGCTGTTGCTGCTTTAACCACACGCACAAGAGGCTGCCACTCCGAAGGTAAAACCAATGGGCAGCACGCACATCTGTCAACCCGTTGCAGCGACACGAGATTCTCCCAATGCTCCTCCTCCTGCACATAAGCTTTGAGCATGCGTTGCAACTGGCGAGGCTCGTTGGCTTGTTCGGACGCGCAGCAAAACAGTATATGTCGGTGGATGTGGGTAAGCGAGAGGTGCTGCAAGGACGTGAGGTGGCGCATCCAGGGAGGGAAGCGAGGGCCAACCTCGCAGTTAGCAAGGGACAGCCGTTGCAAGCAGGGCAGGAAATGTTTGCTGCCATGCTTCTCGCTTGCTGCCATGCGTCTACCCATCACCAGCTCCTCCAAAACCCTAATCTCGCTGATACTGAACTTTGCGAGGTTCCCCTCAGTCACCTCTAGTCTCTCCAGCTCATGCAGCCGAAACACGTCGCTTCCAAAGTCATCTGTGTGAAGCTCTTTCACCCGTGGGGGCAGCCCAAAACTTGACCTCACCTGCCCGAGATGCACGATCGAGGTCTTATTCTCCCATCCCCGATGCACCACCAGTCGACGCACCGAGTGCAGCTGCGGCAGGAAACCCCTCGGGACGGTGAGGTTGCGGTTTATCACGAGGGCAAGATCGCGCAGCAAGGGGAGCTCTGGCAGGCAATCAGGGAGTGAGATGAGCCTATGGCAGCGGGCGATGACCAAACGGTGCAGGGAGGAGAGGCAGGAAAAGGAGGGCGGTAGCTCGTGCAGCAAAGGAAGGTCCTGTAACCATAGCTCCCTCAGGCTTGGAAAGCTGAAGACCAAGGGGGGGCGTGCAGAGGCGTTTATAGCAAGGAGAGGACAGTTCTGGATCGCAAGAATGGAGAGGCGAGAGGAGGGGGAGGAGGAGGAGGGGTTGAGGAGGAGGAGGGGTTGAGGAGCGAGGAAGGGGTTGTGAGTGCTGTGAGATTTGGGAGGTTGCGAATCTCCACGTGGGACAGGCTACGCGAAGGGAAGCACGGCACTGTATGGAGGTTGGCGCATTGGTCTATAATGAGAGTAAAGAGCGATGGGCAATGGGTATGTAGTGGATGGCAGATGGATGTCAGGCTGGGAAGATTGCGAAGCTCTAAGGTGTGCAGGCAGGGAGGAGGAGTGGGGAGTGAAGAGAAGCATGGGCAGCCCTGGATGGAGAGGATGGTGAGGGACGGGCAGGCGGCGGACAGCGAAAGGCATTCGGGCAGCTGAGAAAGTTTTGGAAGGTTGCGAAGTTCCAGACGACGCAGGCTGGGCATGTGGATGGGGGATTCAAGCATTGACTTGGTTGACTCGGTTGACTTCGAGTTTACACTGCAAGCAGCAGAAAGGGAGGCGCCTGAGTAGCCGTCCAGCACGAGGTGCTTGAGCGAGTGGTGCTGGAGGACGCCACGTGGCAGGTGATGCAGTGCTGACACGTCAGCAAGCTCGAGATGTTGCAGCTTGGAAAAGAAGAGGGGCTGGCGTGGCTGTGCTGCTGCAGTGAGAGCGGCAACACCACCCTGATTACTCTGATTATTACCCTGACAAACAACCTGTGACGCCTGCTGCTGCTGCTGCTGCTGCTGCCGAGCCTTCTCTTGGCCATCGTGGAGCTTCTTTCGTTGTCGCCGCTGTCGCCTTCGCCACTGAGGCAGCAGAGGCAGTTGCTGCTGCCCATCGTAGCTCGCCTCCACATCCTCCCTATCACGTGCACCTCCCGACCCCACCAAATCAACCACGTCCACACCATGCTCACGTTCCATGTCATCCCGTCGCCCTCCCCCCTCCTCTCGCTTCTTCCCGCCCTCTCTCTTGGACGGCACAGCTGCCGATTCATCCCTGGGTTTGACTGTCCAAGCATCAAGCATCACCGAATAGCATCCCTCCACGCGAATCCGCTGCAGCGACGGCAGCAGCGCTAGTGACGCAGGAAGCTGCCGCAGCGCCAAGCAGTCCCTCAAAATCAGCTCCTGCAGACACGTCAGCTGCCCTAGGCATTTTCCGGGGAGATGCGTTACCCCTTCCCCTGCGCCGCGGATCTCTAAGCACAGCAGGGATGGCGTTAATGGGGAGAGCCTTGGGATTGCCGCAACGCCAACGAGCGACAGTGACGTCAGCTGCGGCAGCAGCGTTGCCAGGCGAGCGATTAGCCAATCACTGATGGTCCCCCTGCTGCTGCTGTCGGTGCTACTGCTGGTGCTTCTGCTGCTGTAGCGGCTGCTGCTGCGACGGCAGCAGTCCCCGTGTAGCGTGAGGGCGCGCAGGTGGGGGAACGCGGAGAGTGTGCGCAGGAGCGCGCGGGGGCATAAGAGGAGGCCGGGGGGAACAGTGATGGCGCGGGGGAGCAGCGCGGAGAGGCGCAGCCAGCGGCGGGAGACGAGTGCGCAGGTGAGCAGCGGGGGGGTGGGGGCGCCGGCGGAGTTGTTTGCCTTGCGGCAGGAGCATGTAGGGTCCTTACAGGGCAGCTGCTGCTGTTTCTTATACCCCCAGCGATCGCGGATGGTGATGGTCATGGCGTTAGGGCATGGCGGAGCGGCTACTGTTGAACTTGGAGGGGCGGTGCTGACAGTGTCACTTGCACACCTACTTCTTGCATCGATTGCGGTCGTCGTCGCTCCATCTACGTCTTCGCAGTTGCTGCTGCTGTAGGTGGTCGAGGTAGGGGAGCTGCTGCTGCTGCTGTCGCTACTGCTGCTGCTACTGCTGCTGCTAGTACTGCCAGTAGCAGTGCTGCTGGTGATGGCGTGGTGGATGATGTTCAGCAAGACGGCATCTGGCAGCCGATCAATGTCGCACGGCGAACGCGCCGCGATGCAAGCAGCAGCAGCAGCAGGCGTACGATTCGACGCAGTGGCAGGCGTACGATCCGACGGATTGCAACGGATCGTCACGATGACGCGAGGCGCCGGCGGCTGCGGTGATATCATCATGCAGCGCCAGTTGCGCGATTCGTCCATGGATGAAGCGGAATGGCCAAGGCTGGAAGGATTTGTGGACGGATACGCAATGGAGTGCTAGTAGGAGTGGGAATGCGCGGTTTCCTCAAGCCGGTTTCAAGGTAGGTTAAAAATGTCGCTTTTTGCTATCGACGCTGTATCTATCTGCGCGTGACTCGCAACGCACGAGAGCGAGGAAAGGGAGAAATAAAAACCTTTTTCCTTTGGAGAATGAAAGGCCAAGCATGGGGATTTGTACCAGCCCTGGCGACCTTACTACACGCACCTGGAGGCGCGAAGAAAGTAGGTGTATTATACGTGCTGGCAAAGCGAGAGCCACAGCACGGCATTGATTTCTTAGTACCCCGAACCACCTTTCGTGTTTGACCCCGTTGACCAAATGTTGGTGTTGCCTGGGTTGGTTGGTGTGATGGAGGGGGTGTTTGACAGAGAGGACCGGAAATGTTCGTTAGGGCGCGTAACTATTTCGACGGTTTCATTTTCGCCAAAACGAACCATTTTCGTTTCCGAGCTAGATTTCCAGAAGCTCGGAATTTGCACATTGAATATGGACTCCGGCTTCCCTGGGAAAATGTCACTCTTTCGATATAACTTTCGTGCCTTCTTAAAGCCCAAGACCTGAATTACTCAACGGCAGTCAACTGAGTATTTCTAGGTTCGGCGGGCTGCCAGTTGGAGGTTCGGATGGGTTGAGTAACACGCGAAAAACCAAAACCAGCTTGCGACTGAATACAGTTCGCCACAAACTGTGCACTTGCTGATTGGTTGGAAAAATCAGGCAGGGCCCATCTTCCCAAGTTCGACAGACCTGAGAAGCAACATCCCAGGGAAAGTGTGCACAGTTTGAATAGGGAATTACAGGCACTCGAAAGTCCTAAGTCCCCTTCAGCGAGGCGCGACCTTAGCCTCTATAAATACGAGGAGGAGCCGTTGGGAGAGAATGTCCGCAATGACTGTACCGGAAAAGTGCGATTTTTAGGGTGTGGAGGGCAATGGCGTTACTAAACGCAAGGTCGCACGTGAGTTAGCCTAACACATCAAGGCCTGACCTAGCGATTTTCAGCGGTACTCGAAAAGTGTAGGCTAAAACAAGCGCCCTCGACAACGCCCTCAACACATAGGGAACAGGGCGGACATATCCATCGGTCTGCCCCACATAGCCTTGTTACGCCACCCGTCGGTGCAGCTTAGACTCCCACGCGCTCGAGGCGCTCTCAGCATCAAGCCTCCCGCCCTGCCCGGGAAAGTCCCCTCCCCGCCGATTGGTAAAGCTTTTTTATCGTGCACTGATAAGCCGCTTAGTATCTCTGTTGTACTTACCGCTAACGTGTCCTTGAATCTCTGCAGCTGCCTCAGTAAGGCTGAATCAGCTGACCCTCCCTATTTTGCAAGACCCTGCTTTTGCTCTTATCTCCACTAGGGGTCAAACGGAGGAGTGGTTGTGTACTCAGTCGGGCTGCAAGAAGGCTCACGGCGCGTCCTTCATGGAAGCTCTCGACCACATCCGCTCTGCAAACCATCTCTCGCACCTCGAGAAGCTCGGCACAGCCACCAGACTCACCGTAGAGAAGGCGAGCCTCGGCACCACCCTTAAGGATTATGGGATCCAGGCCTCCAGCAGTTCAGCCACATCTCAGCAGCAGCGTCGATAGCACTCTTGGCAGTTGGCGTCGTAGTATCATTTACCCTGTGGATGTGTAGGGGTCATTTCACTGTTGTCAATGGTTAAAAAAGACACCCTCACCTTCGCGACACTGAATGTTAACGGCTTAGGTGACAAATCCAAGCAAGTTAGAGTACTCGACTGGGCTAGAACAGCAGCAGACTTCACACATACTGCAACTCCTTTACCTCCTTCACCGTAGCAGCATCACCCACGCCAACCAGAGTCAGTGGCGTGGCGCTCCTCTGTAGAAATCCGCACTTTAGCCTTAAAGATGTCACTGCGCACCCGTCTGGCAGGATCCTGCAAGCGTGCGTGCACGGTTTAGGAATAGAGATTATAGTGTTAGGAGTCTACTTTCCGGCTGACTCGGCATCCAGGAACTCTTTCATCACACACACCCTCGGCCCAGTCTTAGACCTCATTGCCCCTTCATCTCACCTCATCATCGCCGGCGACTTGAACCTCGTAGAAAATTCTATCCTTGATAAGTTCTCGAAGCTCGGCTCCTCGTATGAGAACGACAAGCTTTTCCGCCGCTGTAGCGCCTTCCAGATCTCGGATGCGTTTCGTACCCTGCATCCAAGGAAGGAGTTCACATTCTACTCTAGAGCGAAGGAGGCTGGCACTAGAATAGATCGCATTCTTCTCTCGCACTCGCTCTTACCTCACCTCGACTCCGCGGTCCACGTCATGCCGGAAGAGACTATTTCGGACCATGACTTCGCTGCCAAGGCTAGCCTTCGTCTGTTCTTGAAGGCTAGGTCCGGGCCTGGCCTCTGGAAGTTGCCACCTGACATGATCAACAAACCAGGTGTTAAACGGATCATTAACGCCACTGTGAAGCGCACGCCGGTAACTGACGGCAGTAGTTTCGAGCTTCTCACCTTGAGGTTAAATGCCGAGCTGCGATCTTACGCCAAGGAGGAAGGCAAGCGTGTCCGTGCTACCTCTTCGCACCTCGCCACTACCATCGCCAGGCTGAAGCAGGAAGCAATGGCAGATCCCCATAGTTTTGCCCACGGGGAGCTCATGGAGTCCAAGGTGAAGTAGTTAAAGGAGTACCACGTGTCGCGGAGGGAACGAATGCATCTCTGCGCAGGGACAAGGGAGGAGATGGTCGGCGAAATAGCTTCAAAGCATCTAACGGGGAAGATTCAATCGCGGAAGGCTAAGACACAGATAGCGGAGCTGAGGGTGAACGGAGTGGTAATCGCGGACACCAAAGGAATTCTGGGAGCTGCTGCATATTTCTTCTCTGCTATCTTTGGGAAGGATCGTCGGCAATATACAAGGAAGTGGGTCCCGGCACCGGGCAGGATACTCTCATGGGATGCTACCAGGGAGCTGGAGGCTGACTGGACGGAGGAGCAAGTCAAGGAGGCTTTTAAGGCGATGGTGGCAAGGAAGTCCCCGGGCAGCGATGGCCTTCCGAAGGAGCTCTTCGAGGCCAACTGGGACACTCTCGGAGGCTGCTTCATGGCGTTGGCTGAAGACTTCGCCTCAACTCCTTCCCTCCCTGCAGAGACAAAGGAGGCGGTTACAATTTTACTGCATAAAAAAGGAGACATGGACTCCCTAAACAACTACCAGCCGATCACCCTACTGAAGTCCTCTTATAAAATACTGGCGAGGGTGGTGGCGAACCGCATTAAAAAAATGTTTCACCAAGTCATATCTCTGGAGCAGTATGGGTTCATATCTGGTCGGAGGCTGTCGGACGCGGTGGCTCTGGTCGCAGATGTCATTGATGCGGCGAAACACGGCAGCGAGGACTGGTACCTTCTACTCGTCGATTTTTGGAAGGCCTTCGACTCGGTCTCGCGCATCTTCATTTTCATGGTGTTGAGAAGCATGGGATTTCTGGAGCGGTTTGTGGCTTGGGTGGAAGGCCTGCATCAAGGCACCTCGACGAAGCTTTTAATCAACGGTCGGTTGAGCGAGGGCATACAAGTGCGGTCGGGAGTCAGGCAGGGGTGTCCTCTTGCACCTTACCTATTCCTCTGCGCCATGTAGCCGTTGGCGCAGTTGGTGGAGAAGAGGAAACTGGGGCTCAGTTTGGTGGGGCAGAGGCTAGCATACCTGGGGTATGCTGATGACACAACTCTTATCCTGCAGGGGAAAAGTCAGATCAAGAAAGCGGTGAGGGCGCTCGCCAAGTTTGAGAAGGAGTCCGGTCTGGCGACGAACAAGGGGAAATCGGACGTAATGGCGCTGGGGGTGAACCTCACCTCTAACCCGATTGCATCAGACTGTTTCAAGTGGGCGGGAGCGGATGAAGCGGAGCGTCTTTTGGGGGTCTGGATCACGCCGAATGGTAGCTGCAGGTCGACATGGGAGAAGGCGTTAGATGACATCACGGGAAAGCTGCAGAAATGGCACGAGAAGTAGCTTACGGAAACGGCTAGAGGGGCGGTGGTGAACAGCTACATCTCACCAAAGATATCGTTTCAGGCTCAGGTTTACCCTCCACCGGATGACATTTGGCTGGAGATCGACAGGTCTCTGCACAACTTTGTCTCGGCCAACCGTCCAACCTCAGCGAAGGGCTTTATCCTCTGGCGTCGGGAGTTGGTGTACCTGCCAAGGGATCTGGGGGGGCTTGGAGTGCAGGACCCGGACATTCTATTAGCATGTCTTGTTAAGATAGTAGGCAGAGTTAGGAGCCATAGCTAGGTAAGCCCTAGCTAGGCAAGAGAAGTTAAGGCAAAAGATGAAGTTTCACTAGCAGCAATGAGGATACATATAGCAAACCCTAGATGGGTTGTACTCGCTATAGAGCACCCCACTACAGGCTAGAGAATAACATTCTGACACACCCCCATAGCCAAAGTGGGGTGTAATTAGTATAATGAGCAAGCAGGTATAGAGGAGTTCACAAAGGTAAGCAAAGCTAGAGCTAATCACAGAGGGCAAGTGAGGAGGAGGAGAGACTGTGGAGGGAGAGAAGATGGGAGGCAACGACTGAAGCTGCAGAGGCACGGGCACAGGAGCGGCTGACTCAGTGGCTACCGAAGCAAGGGCGACGGACTACTGGAGTGACTGGCTCCGCGGCTATAGACGAGCGGCAGGAGCAACGGACCCACTGGCGACTGGTACAACAGGCTCATTGGCTACCGAAGCAAGGGCGACGGACTACAGGCGCTGCAGGCTACAAGACAGCTACCTTCACACAACCTCCCCCAGCTGCCCCACGCCCCTCTCACACACCCCCTGCTCAAACCCTAGCTCCACTCCCACAGCACCCCCCTTAAACCCTAAACCCCAGGCTCCCACACATCCACCCCCCTCAGCGACAGCTGCAGCAGTGGGAGACGAGGGAGGAGGAGGAGAAGGGGACGACGCACACAACCGACACCCCCACAACCGCCACCCCCACACCCCGCACCCACAAACCCTAAAACGGGTGCGACGGGAAAGGAGCGCGGGGGACGGTAAGGGGAACGGCGCGCGGCCCCCAGGGCGCCACCACGGGGCAGCGAGGGGCCGCGCACGGCTCCCCAGGGCGCCGCGAAGGGGCAGCGGGAGGGCGGCGACGGGACCGCAGAGGGCGGCGACGGGGCCGCTGCGGGCGGCGACGGGGCCGCGGAGGGCGGCGACGGGGCCGCTGCGGGCGGCGACGGGGCCGCTGCGGGCGGCGAAGGGGTCGCTGCGGGCGGCGACGGGGCCGCTGCGGACGGCGACGGAGCCGCTGCGGGCGGCGACGGGGCCGCTGCGGGCTGCGACGGGGCCGCTGCGGGCGGCGAAGGGGTCGCTGCGGGCGGTGACGGGGCCGCTGCGGCGGCGTCGGGGCCGCTGCGGGCGGCGACGGGGCCGCTAAGGGCGGCGACGGGGCCGCGAAGGGGGGGGGGGAGGGGCCGAGTGGGGGCCGCGAAGGGCGGCGACGGGGCCGCGAAGAGCGGCAACGGGGCCGCGAAGGGCAAATCGCCACGCGCGGGATGAAAAATGCGTCGCACGCCACGGGGCGTGCGACAGATCGAGTAGCAGCGGAAGAAGGTGGGCCCACAGGCCAGGAGCGTACTCGCTCTGATAGCATGTTAAGATAGTAGGCAAAGTTAGGAGCCATAGCTAGGTAAGCCCTAGCTAGGCAAGAGAAGTTTAGGCAAAAGAGGAAGTTTCACTAGCAGCAATGAGGATACATATAGCAAACCCTAGATGGGTTGTACTCGCTATAGAGCACCCCACTACAGGCTAGAGAATAACATTCTGACATGTCTCTCTGCAAGACGTGCGGCGATGCTTGTTGCGGAGACGAACCCGCTGAAAAGAGACATCATAAAAAAAGCGGCGGAACTACCGATGGGGTTAGACTCTTTCATGACCCACAAAAACCTCATCCGTTACAGGAAAGGGGGGGTGGACAAGGTGGAAAATGATATGTGATACCATCTTGAAGTTGCCGCTGGGGGAACGGCCCATGGCGAAGGAGGCATCGGATGTGGCGCGGGAGCCGTTACTGTTCAACCGCCGTATCCTGCCCAACAGAAAGTCACCACTAGTAAGGCAGAACGCGGCGGCTCAGCTTAAGGACTGGAACCAGGGGAAGTTGAGATGCACTGGGTCGGACGGGGCTCCAGCTTTCAAGACGCTGGAGCAGCTAAAAACGGAGCTAGGGGAGATAGCACCTGCAAAACTGGCGCTCAAGGCGCTCGAAGCTGCACCGGAGGAGTGGAGGAAAGTATTGATGGCAGCTGGAGGCATTAGCTCGGCTGCCTCACAGCAGGAACGGTTACCGTACGTCTCAAGCGATGGGATTTTCTCGCTGAAGCAGATGAGGAGGTTTTGGGGGTCGGGCCAGGCCTCGAACAAGCAGGCGAAGTGGGGGAGCAGATGGGGCAAGCAAATCAACTGGAGGAAGGTCATTGCGATCAGAGACTCTCGGGCGGTTCCAAACCGTCCACGCAGTGTTCTGTTGAGGATCCACGACCTCAATCTTCAGGTGGGAGAGAGGGTGGCTTTCCTCCGATGCAAGCCGGTCTGCACGTACTGTAGCGAGGAGGAAACCCTAGAGCATTGTCTCTTCACCTGTCCGGCCATCCAAGTGGTCTCCACTTCAATCCCGCGGGCTCTGCGCATGATGAACCCAGCTCGCCGCATCTCCTCGCTGGGTGACATGCTCTTAAAACGCGCTGGCTTTGACTCGGCTTTTCCGGAAGCAACTCTAACGGCGATTGGTTTACATGAGCTCTGGGTGGAGCGTTGCGAAGCAGTGTTTCGTGGAGGAAATTTTAGAGCGCGCCGAGTTCTGCGACGAATTGAGCGGGCTTTTTACCTTCATGCGAGAATCTACCTGAGAGAACAGCGGACGAAACTGCGGAAAGGGGCGGGCGGCATTCGGAAGAGCAAGTTGGCGAGATTATTGGCGGATGAACATCTACTGTTAGGAAACATCACGACCGTGGATGGGGTGAAATGGAAGTGGACGGTTGGCTTCGCAGCCATCTGGTCCAAGCAGCGTAGGGTACGTGGCCCTGTTTAAGTACCCTCTGGTGTTCAGCACACGCCGTCCCCCTCAAGCACAGTTACGACTGTATTTGATTTTATGCACTTGCTCATTCCAGGTGTATTTCATCAATTTAACATTTAAAAAAATACTGAATGTGGACTCGTACAAGAGCATCTATTTATTCACAACCATATACTTTTCCATAGTGACCAATGGATTTGGCCCGTCAAAAAAGTTGGTGTGGTGTCTGAGAAGACGGTTGAAATGTACAGTTGTTATCTATCCACATATATCATATCCAAGCATTTGATTCCATAGTGACTCCCTTCCCCTTCACCTTTTCACAAAAGCCAATCAATGCTATCCCCATTACAGGTCCCAATATCTGTCTCTGTCACGATCTCTATCTCTCTCCCTAATGTCCCTGTCCCTCTCTCTCTCCCTCCCCCTCTCTCTCTGTCTGCCCACCTCCCTGTTCCTGTCCAGATCCCTATCCCTGCCCCAATCCCTATCTCTGTCCCTCTCCCTATCCCTATCCCTATCCCTGTCCCTCTCCCTGTCCCGATCTCTGTCCCTCTCCCTGTCCCTATCCCTGTCCCTATCCCGTTCCCTGTCCCTATCCCTCTCCCGAACTTCTCTTTCCCTTTCCCGATCTCTATTACGATCAACATCACGGTCCCTCTCTCTGTCTCTCTCCCTTTCCCTCTCCCTGTCCCTATCTCTCTCCAAATACCGACCTCCAGCCTTTTCGTCCCTGGGTCGTTTCCGCTCACGTTCAGCACTTGTCTCCCTGCTTCCACTGCACGCAGCGGCGGCAGCAGTGGCGGCAGCAGCAGAAACATGAGGCAACAGCAGCAACAACCACATTAGGCAAGGTGAAGAGGAAAGAGAGGCAGGATAGAGAGGACATGCAGATGGGCAGAACGATGTATATTGTACAGGCGGGAGTATGAACAGGCATGAGAGCATCTGTGTGAGCAGCGACATGAGTCAGCATGAGAGAGAGCGCTTGCAAGTGCGGGCCTCATGAAACCATTACTTTTACAGGAACACAAACAGAGTGGTGTCTGACGCACATGGGATGGCCACAAGAGGAAGGGACAAGGGAAAGGCACAGACAGACGGACAGAAAGACAGGCAGAAATGGGCGCAAGGAAAGTAGAAGCTCACCTTCTCTGATCGTCACGACCCTTGCCCCTTACACCTTGCTCCCCGTTCACCTGGAGGGGATTGCAGCACAGAGAAACACATGATCATGAAGGTTAGAGTCTGCTGCATGAGCACGGCAAGACTCTTAAGGCACGTCAGAAGTGCTCCCCGTTCACCTGGAGGAAATGCATCAGAAGGCAAGACACGATAGTGAAGGTCATAGTCTGCTGCGTGGCCACGGAAAGAGAACTGCGACGAGTGTGGTGAAGGAGACAGTGAAAGTGTTTGGGGTAAAAGGGAGAGGGGATGGGGAAGGAAGGAGGGGAGGCAAGGGGGAGAGAGGGAGGGAGGGAAGGGTGGGAGGGAGGGAGGGAGGGAGGGAGGGAGGGAGGGAGGGAGGGAGGGAGGGAGGGAGGGAGGGAGGGAGGGAGGGAGGGAGGGAGGGAGGGAGGGAGGGAGGGAGGGAGGGAGGGAGGGAGGGAGGGAGGGAGAGGAACAGAGCAAATGCCTGACTCCACAGCTGAAACTCAATTGCCAGTCACAATGCCATACCTCGGGTCGCCCTTGGCTGCCTTCCTTGCCCTCCTTCCCTTCCTCCTGCCGCTCCTCCCTACCCTCGACTGCATCATTCAACCCCATCTGCGTCCGCCTCTTCTCCCTCTCCTCCTCCCTCTTCTTCCTCAGCATCTCTGCTGTCTCGCGGATCCTTGCATAGCCCTGCCAATGGATGAGGGAGAGGAAAGGAGAAACACGGAGACATGCGAGGAGTGGAGGGAAGTGGGGAGGAGTGGAGAGGAGTGGAGAGGAGAGGAGAGGAGTGGAGAGGAGAGGAGAGGAAAGGAGAGAAGAGGGCAGAAAAGTCAAGGCAAGAAGAGGGAGGAGAGCAGAGGGTAGAGAAGTCGCCTCCCTTCACCTTTTCGTCGTTTTCTTTCCTCTAAATCATCAACAATCCCACCAGCAGCAAAGACAGCAATGACAGCAGCAGCAGCAGCAGCAGCAGCAGCAGCAGCAGCAGCAGCAGCAGCAGCAGCAGCAGCAGCAGCAGCAGCAGCAGCAGCAGCAGCAGCAGCAGCAGCAGCAGCAGCAGCAGCAGCAGCAGCAGCAGCAGCAGCAGCAGCAGCAGCAGCAGCAGCAGCAGCAGCAGCAGCAGCAGCAGCAGCAGCAGCAGCAGCAGCAGCAGCAGCAGCAGCAGCAGCAGCGGCGGCAACAGCAGCGACAGTGGCAGCAGCAGGAGGAGGAAGGGGATCAGCATACACCCACACACCGATGACGTACGAGGTGTTGCTTGCCGTCGAGGTGTGAGGCTAGTCGCTTCTCTGTGTCTGTGTTGGCCTGCATGGCTCCACACACCTCACACACCTGCACCCACGCACACACGCACGCATGCGCACACACCGGCACATGTGCACACACCCACGCACACACGCACGCACGCACACACCGCCAAGCAACCCACAATGCACGCAAGCACACACAGGAGAACATGCAGAGGGATCTCTTCCTCAATCTATGACCCCACAGCCTTTACCCCAAGGACAGTGGCAACAAGCAAGCAAAAGGAGTATACAGCAAGCAAGCACTGGGAGCGAGCAGAGCACAACACTGCATAGCAGCAGCACAGCAGCACAGCAGCAAGCAGCGGGAGCGGAGGAGGCGGAAGCAGCAGTACCTGCAGGCGCTTCTCCTTTTGAATAACGGAGGAAGCGATTGGGTCCGCCACTGGCGAACGCAGGAGAGCCTCCTTCTCACGGTTCAGTGCGTCCACCTGGGAAAAGGCCGGGTGGGGGGAAGGCGGGGCATGCGGGGGTGGAATTCTGAGGCGCCCCGGAATTTGTCTCACTTCCAGGCAATGGAGTCGGGGACTGCTGGGCGCAGGAGAGCCTCTCCTTCTCACGGTTCAGTGCATCCACCTGCATGGGGGGGTGGGGGGAAAGGAATGGGGAACGGCAATAGTGAGGGGACCTTGGGGGGGTGACATTTGCGTCGACTCAACAGTCACTCGATTGGGTCTGGCACTGGCGAGCGCAGGAGAGCCTCCTTCTTGCGGTTCAATGCATCCACCTGCTGTGGTACGAGGGGTGGGGGGATGGAATGGGTCATGGCGGAGAGAGGGTGAAGTGAAGGGGTGTGATGGTGAAGCGAGGGGAAGGGGGAGGAAGGGGAGGGGCCGGGTGGGAAGGGGAGAGGATGGGAAGCAGAAGCATGCAAGTGGGCCTGACCGGACCTGCCCGATGCCCACACACACAGCATGGTGCCCCCTTCAATTCCTCTGGCCCTAATCACCAGCTGGACCACAAAGCATGGTATCCTATGCATGCACCACCACAAAGACATGCCGCGAGCGACCTCTGCTGCAATAACCTCTCCAGCAACCTGCTCGTCTCTCCCTCGCTTCACGGGCTGTAGGCCAACCTATCCTGGTGACTTTTGAGTCGACTCAAAAGTCATTTCGAGTTGGCTCATAGCCCCCCCCAGCAGTACGAGGTGACTTTTGAGTCGACTCAAAAGTCGCTTCACGGGCTGTAGGCCAACCTATCTTTTGCAACATCCCCCCACCTCTCCCTTCTCTCTCCCCCCCTCCCCCGCCCCCCCTCCCCTCTCCCCCCCTCTCCGCACCTTTCCAATGGTCGTCTGCGTCCTGGCCACGAGCCCCTGCTCGCTCTCCGTCCTTATTTCAATCAGCTCAATATCACCCTTCTCCCCCACCCGCCCCCCCCCCGCTCCCCCCCCCTTCCCCCCTGTCCCCCTGTCCCCCTGTCCCCCTTCCCCCTGTCCCCCTTCCCCCTGCCCCCCTTCCCCCTGTCCCCCTCGCCTCCTCCGCACCTTCCCCATGGTGACCTTCTCCACGAGCCCCTGCTCGCCCTCCAGCTTTCTCTCAGTCCAGTCCACCTCCCTTTCTCTCTTCCCCTTCCCCCCGCCCCTCCTGCCCCTTCCCCCCTTCCCGCACCTTCCCCCCCATGGTGGCCTGGGCGAGGTCCACGAGGCCCTGCTCGCCCTCCAGCTTTGTTTCAGTCAACTCAGCACCCTGTTTCTCCCCCGCCCCCCCCAGCCCTCCCCCCTCCCCCCCCCCTCCACCACCCCCCCCCCCCCCTCCCACCCCACCTTCCCCATGGTGGCCTGCGCGCGGTCCACGAGGCCCTGCTCGCCCTCCAGCTTTGTTTCAGTCAACTCAGCACCTCCCCTCCCCCCCGCCCCCCCCAGCCCTCCTCCCTTCGTCCCCTCCCCACCCTTCTTTCCTCCGCGCACCTTCCCCATGGTGGCCTGTGCGCGGTCCACGAGGCCCTGCTCGCCCTCCATCTCCGCCTGGCGCAGCAGCGCCTGCACCTGCGCGCCGATGGCGCTGATCCGCTCCGCGTGCACCGCCGCGCCCTGCCCCGCGGGCAGCTCCTTGTCCAGCCGCTCGTGGCACCGCTTGATCTTGCTGCCGCACAGGGCGCGCGCGGGGGAAAAGGGCGGGAGGGGCGGGTGGGAGGTGGGGAGGAGGGTCGGTGGAGAGTGGGGGGATTGAGGGGAGGTGAAGGGCGTGAGAAGGGAGAAGGAGGTGGAGGAGTGAGAGGGCAGGGGGAGGGAGGGGGGAGGAGGGGAAAAGTAAGGCAAAGAGAGTGGGAGTGAGGGAGCTTGAGCATTCATGCATGCGTGCCCGCAATCCGTGCTCGCTTGCAAGCTCGCTCGCGTGCTTGTTCGTGTTCGTGCACGCAACTAACCCGCTCACCGTTCGAGATCCGCTATAAGCCGCTCCAGGTAAGCTAACAGCTCCGCCTCGAACTGCGCGACCTTAGTGGACGCCATAAACTCCTCCCGCAGCGCGTCGTCGTGCACGCGCGGGCACGGGCCCAGGTCGGAGCGCGTGTTGGGGAAGAGATCGTTCGGGCAGAAGGCCACTAGATGGTAGCGGCATACCTGCGAGGGGAGGGAGGGAGCGGGAGGCGGGGTGACGGGGGGGGAAGGGGGGGGTGGGAGGGGTTATTGAGGTGCCTCAAAGGAGGGCACGGGCCCAGGTCGGAGCGCGTGTTGGGAAAGAGATCGTTCGGACAGAAGGCGACTAGATGGTAGCGGCATACCTGCGGGGCGGAGGGAGGTATGGGGAGGCGGGGTGGGGGTGAGGGGGGAAGAGTGGGGGGGGAAGGGGCTACTGAGGCGCCTCAATCAGAGGTGGGCACGGGCCCAGGTCGGATGGCGTGTTGGGGAAGAGATCGTTCGGGCAGAAGGCGACTAGATGGTAGCGGCATACCTGCGGGGGGAGGGAGGGGAGAAGGGGGAGGGAAGGGGGTACGTGGGACGTTGGGATCGGGAAAAGAAAAGGGGACGGGAACGGGGGCGGGGAGGCGCGAACGGGGTTGGAAGTAAGGAAGAGTGTTGCGGAGTGGGCAGCGGGAGAATCGCAATTGAGAAAAGAAGAGAAAGGAAAGAGAAGGAGGCAGCAGAAGGCAAAGCGGGGTGGTAGGGTGCATGGGGGCTGAGAGTGGTGCGAGAGAAGAGTCGATCAACGGAGAAAAGACGGGAGATATAGGCCCAGGTTCAGATCAGCTTCGCTCAGAGTCGCCGCGATTAAGAGCTGTTTTCATGGTAAGCATAGACCGTCCAATCACATTCCAATATTCGAACGTAAGGGTGACAAGTGGCAGCTCTCCGCGCGGCCGTCTCCTACTCCCTCCACGCACCTCGGGATCGTCGAAGCGCAGCTTGCGTTTCTTCTGATCCAACGGCAGATCTCGGTCCTTGCCCATAAGCTCGTCGAGTAACGAGCGAGCATCCATCTTGGGTCAGGTTCGCAAGAACAGCTCGCACGAGCAGCTCGCACGCTCTCGACGTGCCGCGCGAATGAAGGCCGCCGCGGACACGGGTACGAAGGAGCAACCACGGACGAGTAGACGAAACGGCGTGTGCCCAAGCTGCTAAAACAATGGCACCGACAGCATCTCTCCAGCCATCGTCGTTATGCGACACGAGAGGTGGAGGGATGCGCAGAGGTTAGGAGATCTCGGGGTTTTTCTTCAGGTGGTACGTAGGTCGTATTTCAATTTTCAACAAAGCGGTTGCATATCCTTGCTCGCAAGTTCGCGAAGCTGTACAGTAAAAGATGTGACTCTGTTACGGGTGCAATGGATCTAGGTAGCGAGAATTGCACTAAGGTGTAAAACGAGTACAAAATGTGAGCGAGGCATGAGCGAACATTTATACACGAAACATGCAAACGGTAACGCGGTGCGTGCGAGTAAGCGTAGGCCGACACGGCCAGGCCAGCTGTGCGAGGTTTGGTGAAACAGTGCGCGCGAAGTCGGCGAAGCCCCGTTAGCAGTAACGGGCGAACAACGGCTGCTGCAGTACGCGATGTTGCAGGGCGCGCTAAGGAATATAGAGAAAATTCCTTACACTACCCCCCCCCTCAAGAAGCCCCCTCCGCTACGCGAGTGCGTGTATATCGCGGAAGCCCCGGCTCCTCAGGTACACTTGCAGGGCAGGGTGGTTTTCGATGTTGACCAGGGGCACCCAACTATCTTCAGTGTTGAAAGGCTGGGCAAAATTGAGAAACAGGAAAGAGAGGTTTTTACTAGCATGCAGTTGAGTATATATAGCAAACCCTAATTCGGGCTGTACTCGCTATAGAGTACCCCATTGCAGGCTACACAAACATCACATTCTAACACACCCCCTTAGTCAAAATGGGGTACAATCAACACAACAAGCAGGCAGAGCAGTAGTTCACAATTATAAGCAAAGCTAGAGGCTATCACAGAGAGCAAGTGAGGAGGAGGAGAAACTGTGGGGGCGAGGAGATGCGAGACGACGGCTGAAGCTGCAGACACACGGGCAACATGAGTGCGCAGTACTATCGCTACCAGGCTAAACCCGGACTAAACGGCGACAGACGCAGCTGACTCTCTGTGCTCCCACGAGTGCTCACACTGTGGCTACCAGGCGCAGAGCCCCGGACTACTCAGGCCACAGGGGGTCGTGGCTCTCTGGACTACCAGGAGTGCTCACACTGTGGCTACCGGGTGCAGAGCCCCGGACTACTCACGCCACAAAGGGTCGTGGCTCTCTTGACTTCAGGCGCTGCGGACGACAAGACGACTGCCCACGGTCAACCTCCCCCAACCGTCCCACACTCCTGTCACACACTCCCTGCTGAACCACTAGCACCGCTCACACGCCACCCCCCTCGAACCACTCCGACGGCTCCAACACATCCATCCCCCTCAGCGGCAGCTGTAGCAGTGGGAGACGGAGGAGGAGGAGGAGCAGGGGACGACTCACACACACACCACCCCCATACTCTCCACCCCCAAACCCTAACACAGGAGCGCGGGCAGCAGAGGGGGTGGGGGCAAGTCAGAAGTCTTAGAATATAGGCATGAGAGAAGATGGACTATCGAGTGAAAGGTACAAGGTGAAATACCCTAAGGGGTTATACCCCACAAAGTCTACCCCACTACAGCCTACCAACATATATAATATTTATGCATATCTTTGACACACCCCCATAGGCAAAGTGGGGGAGAGCAAGAGGTCACAAGACCAGTCAAGAAAAGTAAAGCAAGCTCAGGGTGGATCACAATGTCACCACACACAGAGCACAAGCAAAAGGCCAGAAGGCCAGTTCACATGCACAGATATATATGCAACAACAACAGCACAGTGATCTCTACCTACAAGGAGCAAACAAGCAGGTATATATAAAGATCACAGTACAGACAAAGCCTACAGCAAGTAAGGAAATGTAGGCACGAGCCCCAACAAAGCACAGAAGCGCTGATGATCACAAGACGGAAGAGCCTTGGTGAATATATCAGCAGTGTTGGCCCGACTGGCCACGTGAGCAAGACGAAGCTGACCCCGCTGCTGCAACTCTCGAGCCAAGAAGTAACGCAGAGCAATATGCTTCGTTCTGTGCTCCAGTCTGTGCTCCTGACACAAGGCAATGGCTGCCTCGTTGTCAACGTATAGCACTGGAGGAGAAGGAGGCGCCTCGCCCAGGTCGGTCAGCAAGTAGGTGAGCCAACGTAGCTTCTGTGCAGCCATGGCTGTGGCGTAGATCTCAGCCTCACAATTGGAGCTGAGAACAGAACACGAGCGAGTAGACCGCCAAGAAAATAAACCGGAGCCAAGGCTGAAGGTGTAACCCTGTGACGACCGCTGCGTAGCCAAGTCGTCAACCCAAGAGGTGTCTGAGTGATCAGAGAGAACAACTGGACCTCGTCCCCCAAGCACAAGCCCCATGCCCGACGTATGGCACAAGTAGCGCATCACCCTCTTAGCTGCCTTCCAGTGCTCTAGACGGTGTCTCCAGGGCGCAACGTAGCGTGCCAGGATGCTAAAAGGGTAAGCAAGGTCAGGACCAGTGCAGGTCATCAGGTACATGAGGCAGCCCACAAGCTCAGGGTACGGACCACTCGGCTCTACGGACTCATCCGAAGGCAAAGCTGAGAGCATGTGACCAGTAGGCAGAGGAGTGGACTGTGGCGAGGAGTACAGGAAGTCGAAGCGCTGAAGGACCTGCTGCACCATGTGTGACTGAGTCAGGGTGATGGTGCGGCGTGCTCTGTCCCGAGTGATCTGCAAGCAAAGATAGCTGCGCAACTCACCCAGGTCTATGCACGTGTGTCTCTTCTGCAACTCCGACTTCACTAGAGTCAGTGCCTCAGTGTCAGCAGTGGCAAAAACCAAATCGTCAACGTACACGAGGATGTAGAACGGGGGCAACGAAGTGTCGATGCGTAGAAACAGCGACGGGTCAGCAGTAGAAGGAGCAAACCCAAGTGCTGCCAGTGTAGTCCTCAGTGTGTCGTGCCACTCACGGGGTGCCAGGCGGAGACCGTAGACTGGCCGCCGGAGGCTCCACTGGGTACCAGGAGGAAACAACCCAGTGAAGCCAGGTGGGCGGCGCAGCCAGATCTCCTCGTGTAGGCTGCCTTGAAGGAAGGCTATGCTGAAGTCAAGAGAGTGAAGCTCGTAGTCACGCTGAGCAGCGACACGCAGTAGTACCCGAAGAGTGGTCATCTTCGGGGTGGGAGAGAAGGTCTGAAAGTAGTCAACTCCCTGTCGCTGTCTGAAGCCACGAGACACGTAATGAAACTTGAAGACAGTCGGAGAACCCGGCGGCCGCTTCACCTTGAAGATCCACATGCCATCGACAATGTTCGCCCCAGGTGGGGGAACCTCGTCGACGTAGGTGCCTGTGGACTTCCAGGAAGCCATCTCTGCGTCCATGGCTACCTGCCACTGAGAGGAGTAGGGACCCTCAACTGCCTCTGCGTAAGAGCGCGGAGTTGGGATGTCTAGTGCATCCGGGTCTCCCTCAGGGGCAAGCAGCATGGACACGAGATGAGGTGAAGCAGCAGCCAAACATTGGAACTCCTCCTCCCTGTCCTCAAGGACGTCCGTGCCAAGAGCACACTCACCCCCGACGGACGGAGAACAGTCAGACTCAGACTCAGCAACAAGACTAGCAGCGTAGTTTAGACGACAGCGAGCAGCAAGCTTGACAAGCTTAGCAACAAGAGCCGACGCAGCAGCAGACTCAAAGGAAGAGTCACTGACAAAAGTGGCTAGGAGACGTGTGACAGGAGGACTAGCAGCACGAAGGGAGTTAGACTCCGGGTCAGCAAGGGCAGGAAGAGAGGACTCAAGAGGAGACAGCAGAGGGACACGCTGCGGAGCAGTGGAAGGACGCGGAGTGATCCGGTGCATGCCAGGGACAAGAGGAAGATGCAAACCACGACCAATAGTGCGAGCAGCACGAACAAGTGACGCAGGACGAGACGCAGGCTCACAACGCTCAGCAAGACCTCCAGTCGATCCAGTGTAAGGGGAAGGAGAAGGCAGTGGGGAGGCGGGCTGTAGCTGTGACTACGACAGGACAGGTGGCGGACACTCTCAGGACGGAGCAGGACCAGTAGAAGGCGGGAGACCAAGAACCTGCTCAAGGAGCGGAACGAAGTACGGCAGCTCAGCACCCCCAGAACCAGCAAGAACAGCACCAGCACCCCCAGCGCCAGCTCCAGCTCTAGCAGCACCACCAGTAGCACCCCCAGCGGCTCCAGCACCAGCAGCAGCTCCAACTCCAGTAGTACCCCCAGCAGCTCCAGCAGCACCACCAGTAGCTCCAGCAGCACCACCAGGCCCAGTAGCTCCAGTACCTCTAGTACGAGTACCTCCGGGTCCAGTGGCTCCAGAACCCCCAGCAGTAGAGCCCCGAGCTCCGGAAGCGCGACCCTGACGACGACCGTACCAATCGTGCAGCTGCTGGGAGGTGAGAGGCACACGCGGACGAAGGCGGCTACTCTTAGGAGACCGCACAGCAGTAAACTCAGGACCCGCAGGCGTCGCACCCCCAGACTCAGCACGCCCAGACTCCGTACCCCCAGGCTCCTCATGCTCAGGCTCAGCACCCTCAGGCTCCTCACGCTCAGGCGCCGCACCCCCAGGCTCAGCACCCCCAAGCTCCTCACGCTCAGGCTCCGCACCCCCTGGCTCAGCACCCCCAGAGACAGTACCCCGAGTAGGACCACCCCCAGCAGGACCTGAGTCACCAGTGACCTCAACAAGCGCAGTCACGGGAGGGTCTACCTGAGAAACACCTGAAGGAGCAGGACCTGGCGCAGGGAGGGGGTCTACCTGGGGAGGACCTGGAGCGAGAAAGAGCGGCACGGGGGGGGGGAAGGGGTAGTGCGGTAGGGGAAGAGACGGTAAAAGGGGACGGACTCGTCAAAGGTGACGTCCTGAG